GTAACACACGTTCTCCTCATGGCAAAGGACGTGACAGGTATCCATCCCCTCAGCAGGGATGAATTGCTGGTTGCAGCCCCACAGCAGTTTCACCATTGCCTGGAAAAGGGCTCTTGAGCACTTGGCAGCTCTGCTGATGCGCCAGCCAAAGTCAGGGAAGATCGCGATGTCCCTCGCTGGCGATAGAGAGCACTGATGTCTGCAGGGCCACAGCTGTGGACCCTGTTGGCTGCAGGGTCTGGAATTGAAACCCCCTTTTCCTTGGGCTGAGCTTGCTTTGAGGCACGTGCTCTGCCCTCTGCACACTCCACGTCCTGTGCTCACAGAGCTGGGAGCGGTTTTACTCCAGCGGTGTGATTTCCTGTGCCGAGCACAAGTGAGCTCCCCCTGGGCACTAACACAGGTTCTTTCCTGCCATTCTTTAACTTTCCTCCTTGGCCTGGCTCTTGGCCCTCTGCAGGAAGCGAAGGAGTTGAACAAGATGAAGTCGGCTATGCAGAAAGGACACGTGCTGCTGAAGAAGAAAGAGGAGAAGCTGAGCCAGCTGGAGTCCTCGCTGCTGGAGGAGGTAACCACCACCTAAAGCCAGTGGAGCTGGGTTTTAGAAACACATCCTCTGAGAGCAGAACGGTGTCTGAGAATGGTGGGAGAGGAGGCTGGTCACAAAGCCGGAGAGAAACACAAAGCTAATTGATTATGACCCCCGTGATTCGCTAGATCTGGGCTGGGGTTTGCATGGAGAAAGCCTGAGTGCTCCTGTTTGTGAGAAGCTTGTTAGGTCAGCAATGAATTGGTGTTATCATCGACGTGCTGATATATCCTGTGATATAAACTGCAACTTGCCATCAGAGAGGCTAGGTGCTTTCTTAACTGTCTATTTCTTGGTCAAGAGGACAAATACCGTGCCTCCCTCTGCTGAGGATACCTGGGTTCAATGTTCAGTGTGCGGCTGCAGAAAGCAGCCAGGAAAAGCCACAGAATTCTGTCTGAGGGACAGAACAGCACATTTAGCTTGCATTGTGTTCCTCCTCTTGACCAGCTTTCAGATGAAGACACGCTGAGGAGTGCTCCGTGCAAGAAGATGGTGACTTTTGATCTCAGCAGCTCTGAGGACATGGACAGCACATCCAGTATAAATGCGTGTCAGCCCAAATGTAAGTGCCTGACTGGCTTGGTGTGCTGAGCCGCTCTGTGAGGCTGTAGAGGCAGTTCTGGCTTTCCCTCCTGCCTCTCTGATGTACCTGCTGTTGTTCTCACTTGTGTCCATCAGTGTCTAAGGCCTGCTAGCCATGGCTGAGCCTGCTCTGTGTGTAACACTTCATTTGAAAAGCCGATTTCCTGCCTCCAGTGACAGATGAGAGGGGCGGGATCTGTGCATGAACTTGCCTTTTAAATCGCTGCCTTTGTTTTCAGCGGTTTATAAAATCTGGCTTCAGCTCTTCCCTCTGCTGTTGCAGAGTTGTATTGCTCTTCTGAAGGAGTCCAGGCTTCCTCTCCCTCTCATCTCTGGCAGGCCAGGCTGTGCAGTTCCCTCTGCTGCTCCTGCTTTGTGGTTTGCCCTCAGCTGCCTGTGACTGGTGGTGTGCAGGTGGGAAAAAGGGCTCCCCACAAACAGCCAGGGAGGCAGAAGGGTTGTGTCGCTTGCGGAAAGGCTGCCAAGGCTGGAGCTTAAAGAAAACTTGGAAAACTTCCCTATGGTACCAGACGGACAATCTGTCCAGTCTGGGACGGTCTCTGACCCTGATCACTGAAATATCTGCAGGCACATGTGAAGCTGAAGGGCTTTTTCTCACTGTAAGGTGCGAACCCTTGTATCAGCACGGTCCTGTTGGTCCTACCTCCAGCCTGGCTGCTGGCCCAAGAGCTTTGCTGTGTGTGCAGTGTAACCAGTGCATGCTGCCTCCTGCTCGCTCTGTGTGCTGAGACTGCCACAGTGCAAGCGTGACTGCCTGCGTGGGGTCTGCTCTCGGGCAGGGTGCATGGGGCATGCAGCTCTCAGAGGTTTGCCGTTTGCCAGGGCTTTGCTGTCGTGTTGGTATCTGCAGGGTACAGGGTAGAACTGAGGGATGGAGATGGGGTCAAACACACGCTCTGATGCAGTCCAGGCTTGTCCTGCAGGCCGCGTTCTTGCAGCATTGGAGGATCTTGTCCTTGCGATTTTGTCTCCCTCTGCTATCTCCTCCACTTTGTGCCTAGGCAGCCTCCAAACACAAATCCTCATCGACAGTTTGTCTCCTCCGTTGGCTGCAAAGCCAGGTTTTTGCCTCTGTATCCCACTTAACCACGCTGATCGAGCTCAGCTTGGAGTGCAATGCAAAGTGGAAAGCGAGTCTCCTGCCACAGAAGTGTCCTCTCCCTTGCCCTCCTGATGATCCCTTCTTTCCTCTCTCCTCTGCCAGTTGATTTGAGGTCCGACTTCTGGCCTGCCCCCCAGCAGAACAAGGTCCAGTACCTGACAGACTCTCTGCAGCGCATCACTGGTGAACTGAACGGGGTGCTTGGCGTCTTGGGCTCTCTGAACCATCCCCAGCCTCCACTCTTCACCTCGACAGCCTGCGGCGGTGTCCCTCTCTCTACGTACGCCTCCCTGGCAGCGCCGCAGGCGGGTGGCTCCCGGGTGGCTCCTGCCGGGGTGTCTCTGGCGGACCAGTGGGCCCAGAGCGCTGGGCTGAGCTCCAGCTGCTCTTCCTCGGCTGGGCAGTCAGTGGACAGCATCCTGGCAGAGAAATGGCGCAAGTATTTCCCAGGTAAGGCGGGCTCAGGAAGGTTACCTGTCTGCCTGTGTGCCTGCCGCTTCTGACTGCGCAGCCCTGCAAGCTCTAACCGGCTCACCCTTCCTGTGCTGCTGGTGCTGCTGGTAGCAAGGGTGTTAATGAGCTAAGGAATGAGAACCTCATGCCAGGGAGTGCAGCATATGGCTGAGCTTGTCATCCGGCTTCTGGAGCAGTTCAGCCTTTAATACACACCTGTGAAAGAAGGGAGCAAGAGAGGAGCCAGCCCTGCTTCCTGGAAGCCTCCTGCGCATTGCATGTTGGGTTCACCATCTCGGTTTCCTCAGCACCACCGTGCCCACAGCTTGCAGTGTGTCCATAGTACAGAAAGCAAATGCATCCAGATGCAAAGGCTGTTGCTGCTGGGGGCCTGAACTGAATGTCTGTTTTGCAGGTGGGCTCCCATCGCTCAGTGGAAGCTCCAAGCCTCTGGACAACAAGCTGGGATACGTACCTGCAGCGTAAGGCTCTTTTTCCTTGAGTTGTGTCACTGCTTTCATTGCTCTTCCCATTGCTCACGGAGGGTGCGGTGGAGGCTGCCAGCTGTACATTTCGGATGTGTATGGACAAAAAGGAGGGCAGCAGCCTGATAGCAGGGGGCTGCTGTGGCTTTTCTCTGTGGTGTGGTTGGGCAGGAGATGTCGAGCCAACAAGAGGTTGCTTTTTGTTAACCATGGCTCTTTTTATAGCAGCCCATCACTTTCTTATCTCTGGGACTGCTTCTTCCTAGACCTCGTTTTCTGACTTGTGCTCTTTCTCTTGTGTGACAGTGAGCAAATACGGCTGTTCCAGCGCTCCCAGCTCCAGAGCCATGAGTTGGGCGAGAAGAGTATTCAAAGGATGATTGAGAGCAACAAGAAATGGCTAGAAGACTTCAAGAAGGATTCCCAAGTGTATCCTTTGCTGGGTCTGCTCTTTAATTGCACTCCAGCGTCCTGCAGCAGATAGGAAGCAGCAGCAGGAGGCGAGTGAATAGGGAGCACTAAAGCATTGCAGAGCCTTCGCTGCTGTGTTAGTGTCTGGTTCTGCAAGGAAACACGGTGTTTACAGTTGGAGCATGAGTGACCTGTTTGGGTGCCACTGATGCAGCCCCCGCTGCTGCACTGGGACTCCATGGGCAGTCCCTGCTGAGCAGCCCAGGATGAGCAGCAGTGTCTGTGTGAGGTGAGGGTGCCTGGAGATGCGTGGACCTGGCACATGAGGCAGCTGCGCGGCTGGGCAGGGAGGGCTGGGGCTCCCCAGTGTTCCCCCTCCATTTTGGGACAAATCATAGCGTGCAGTGTGATCAAACAGGTGAGACCTCTCAGTGCCATTAGCGGAGATGTTTCCAGGTTTGTGTTGTAACAGCGTTATGCTGGGGCTGTCAGGATCTCCTCTGCAGTGTACACAGATATTAGCAGCAAATCCCTTGGGCCTCCGGCAGCGCACGGTGCTCCTTTCAATTCCCTAATCCCCCTTTAATTCCGTTTGGCTTGGCTGCAGCGGGCTCAGCGCCGCGTGTGTGTGGGGCTGGCTCTGCCCCTTGTACCTGTCCTGTCTGGCTGTGCTCCTGCCGTTAATCCCATCCTAAACTGGGCTTTTCCTTCACCCAGCTGCCAGACCTCTCTTCCCACAGGCACAGAAGCCCCTTGCCAGCAGCCCCAGCCTGCTCCAGCTAGGACTGGATGAAAACAGACAAATTAAAGTGTACCAGTACTAAACGGTGAGATCTGGCTCTGCAAAGAGGGTGCTGGGGGCCTGGGTGGTCTCCCCAATGGGTTTCAGCAATGCCCAGCCATCTCTGCTGTGCCCTTGAAGGAAAGTCTCTTTACAAGAGTGGAGGAAGTGAACTTCCCAGGTGGATTCTTCTAATCCTGTAATGTGTCCAAATATGCTTTATAGACTGTTTAATCCACTGGTGAAATATCAGGGCTTCCATAAATCAACACTCCTCTCATTAGTATGCTGGCGATCGTGAGCCAGAGCTGTGAATCACGGAGGAGTTTGAGTAACCGGTCAAGGGGGAGGACATGAATCCAGCTGAGACTTTGCTGGGGGAAATGTGTCAGGAAATGAGCCCACGCTGATGCCCAGCAAAGGCGCAACCGCAGGTGGGCAGCGTGGTCTGGCCTGGGCTGTGAGCAGGGGAGGACAGCGAAACGGCTGGGGAGTCTGGGCAGGACTGAGGAGTGGCAGAGCTGTTTAGTCTGATGGAGTCTGTGTTCAAAGGGGTCCCACCGGTGAGAAGTCCTCTTCCAAGCTGTTCTCTCCAGAGAGCTGATGCGGGGAGGGTGGTAAAGCTGCTGCTTTTGTGCTGTTTGCGTTCCTCGGTGCGGCTGATGGTGTGCGGCTGCCTTTAACAGCTTGATCCTCCTCTCAGGTCCGTGTTCTCCCACCTTCTGCTGGCTAATGAAGCTCAGGGTGCTCCTTCTGCAGGCCCTGCCAACAGAGACCATCCCAGCGGTGTCCTTGGGGAGGAAATCCCAGCGAGCTGCCCCATGGGAGCCCTCAGCTGCCCCCCTGGAGGAAGGGGGCATCAAAAGGCCGGTTTCCCATCAGCTCTCCGGTTGTTCCGACCCTGGATTCTGCTCTGGATTTCCCAGCACCTGGTGGGAGAGGTGGCAGTGCTTCCAGTCGGGTGTCTGCAAAGGCACCTCCGGTTGTGGCTCTGGGGAGGCTGCCAGCCCAAAGCCATCGCTGCGTTTGGAGAAGAACCTATTGGTAGTGCGGAGAAATGCCTGTTTTCTTAGCAATAACTTTGAAACACGTTCCTTTTTCATGTTAAAACCTGCGAGGGCAGCTGTATCTGGTTTTGTACGCAAATTCAATCAACACAGGCCTGTTTCGTATGATGATGTTTGTGGCTCTTTTTCTTGTCGATCTGTTCTGCTGCAGCCTGCGGTATCCAGGGCTTACCTTTCACATCTTCCCCTCGCTTGTCTCCGTGCCGTTTCATGTTTAGTCTTGTCAAGGTCACTTCTGGCAATTTCCAAGGCCACTTCAGCTCACTGTGGCTGTATTACCATTATTCTATTAAGTATCTGGCAGGGGTAGTGAATTCAGGGGCAGATAGGAAACCAAGAAACAGAGCTACAAAAGCAATTCTTCACGGGGCTTTCAGCCAGCAGGACAGCTCTCCACGGGCTCCTGTCCTGCCCTGTTCTTCACAGCGAGGTGCTGCAAATCCTGGGTTCAGATGGATGGGGTATGGGGACACTGGGTGATGGTGTCATGATCTGAGCTGCAGGAGAGAGCGATGTGGTGAGAGGCTGCCTGAGGGATGCAGAGGGGGCCGGGATGCTGCTGTGCATGGTTGTGCCCTGCCTGTGGAGGGAGGGCTGGGAGGAAGGAGAACGGCGGCTGCTGTGGGTGCTGGGCAGCAAGGGGAGCTGTTGGAGCCGGAGGATGGCGAGGCACAGCAAGGACAGCGTGGATCGGGTGGCTGGGCAGAGGCGGAGGCGGAGGCTGATGGGTAAATGCACATCCTTAAACACAACCTCGAGGCAGCCCAGTCCTTGCTGTGCGTGACCCGCGCTGCTGCGCCTGTGCCCGCTGGAGAGCTGCGGTCAGAACTGCCCCAGGAGCTCTGTGCTGGCCGCGCACACCCACCGGGTGGGTGAGTTCGGGGACAGGTCCCCTGCCCCGCTCCCGCGTGTGAAGAGCGCGGGGCGGCTCTGAGATATCCCAAGTCCCATCTGAACGGCGGGCGCCTTCTGGGCGAGGGAGGCTTTGCTGTAATCCT